CGTCGGAGCACTTTGAGAGCGGCGGCAGGATCAAGTGCCCGAAGTTCGCCGAGGTGTGCACCGTCGCCGCGGACGGCAGCGGCTTTCCCTTCGACGGGGAGGCGGAGGGGCTGCAGCGCGCGAACGCGGGCCCCCCGCACACCTTCTCAGGCGGCGTCCTCCCGTGGGCACGGAACGCCTACGCCTACATCACGGGCGGCGACGGCAGTGCGGCCGCCGCCGTTGGCTCCACTTCCCTTGCGCTTCTTGCCGTGGCCGCCGCCGCGGTGGCGATGCTGCCGCTTTGAGCAGCCGCCGTGATTGGGGACAGGCACCGTGCGTCAGGGCCCAGAAGAAAAAAGGAAAAAAAAAAGAGAAAAGCGTGCGCCGCCTTCCCATGGAGCCCCGCACTCAAGCTGCGCGGAGCGTCAGTAATATTGCGCACACTCACCCTCGCGGATTGTAAGGAAGTCGAGAGTACAGTTTTTTGTGCTCGTCGCACTGTTACGAGCAATGCTGGATCTTCCTCGTGTTGCTGTTGACTCTCTATTTGATGTGTACAAGAATTCATTGACAGCTGCGTCTTCCTTCTATTGGTTGCATATGCATTCCTTATTCACGCGCTTTGTAAGTGAAATGGAACATTGCGTGCCTTTTGGGTCATTTATGTATTATTTTTATCTTGTTTTTGTTAATTTCGTTGCAAAGTGCGTATTTTTATATTTTGAGGGAAATGGATTTTGGTTTGTGGAAGTTGAATGAAGTCTGGATGCTCATTTGTTTTTCTTTCGGCATTGGGGCTCTTTGCAACGTGCCTCTTTTCTTTGGGGGAAGTGTGTCAATTCGAGTAACGACACTCTTTTTTCCTTCGTTTGAGTGTGTGTCTTTTTGGTCTCTGTGTCTGGGGCAGTTTCGGTTCTGCGCTTCGCTTTCCCCTCACACACGCCTCCCTGCAGTATGTGCCGTGTCGCTTGAGCGCCGTGCACTCTGTCCTGCGCATTCTTTTCTCCCGCTTTCTCTGCTACTCCGTACCGTAACGGGCTGTGTGTTTGTCGGGGCGTGACGGGGCCGTGCAGCAGGATTTTCTCTGTCTAGCTCTGCTTGTGTGTGTGTGTGTGTGTGTGTGAGGGGGGGCAGTGGCACCGCAGGAATGGCAACTGAGTATCGTGAGGCGCCGCGGAGCTCCATCACGCTTCCCCCGCCGGGGACGAAGTTCCGCGCAAGCGTGGTTGAGAGTGTCATTGAGGAGGTGTGCCGCTCGCTCGTGGGAGAGCGGCCCTACGTGTACGACGAGGTACAGACGTTAATCAAGGAAATCTGTAGCGAAATACAGCAGCGTGTCGTGCGACTTGGGTATGAGCGGTACAAGTTTGTGACGCACGTCACCATTACAGAGGCCGCGCATCAAGGGATGAGAATTGCCTCGCGAGGGCTGTGGGATCCCGCAACGGACGGCTACGCAGCCTACACGCACTCAACGGAGTCCATGCACGTCAACGTCGTTTTGTACGCGCTTTATTGGGAATGAGGTGTGTGTGTGCGCGCACTCCGTGTGCCTTCCCTTCGGAGACCCATTTCGCCGCGCCTCCTTGTTTTGCAATCTTTTCTGTTTTTCGTTCGTGTGCGTGTGCGTCTTCCTTCTTCCGCGCAGGAGAGGGACGATGTGTGCCCGTCCCCCGCATTAGTAGATGTTGGAAAAGGTTTGGCAAACGGCAGTGGGTGACGCACGAGAGCGTGACGCGCCTGCCTGTTGGCGCGGAGGAACTTTGATGTATAAATATCTTCTGGCGGCAGCCGAGCAGACGGGGGTGTAGGGTGGCGCCGGTGGCAGCCCGCGGGAGATGTGGTGCCTGCGAGTACTGCTGCAGTTTCTGCTTGTTACTACCTATGCCTCCTTTCCTCCGCTCTGTTTTCACCCACCCACCCCTCCCCATCCCCCTATACTTTTTCCTGCTGTTGTTATTTTTCACTTTTTGCACGCCGCTGAAACAATAAACCCAACGCACGGAAAGTTGAAAGGTGATACAACCCCCACCAATGTCGAAGAAGCAGGAAGTGAAGTTCTACGGCTCCAGCGCCGCCAAGGACGAGCTGGTGTACGGCGTTGTGCACGTCTACGCCTCCTTCAACGACACGTTTGTCCATGTGACGGATTTGTCGGGTCGCGAAACCTTCTGCAAGGTCACCGGCGGTATGAAGGTGAAGGCGGATCGTGACGAAAGCTCCCCCTACGCCGCCATGATGGCCGCGCAGGACGTCGTGGCGCGCTGCAAGGAGTGCGGCATCAACGCGCTGCACGTCAAGATGCGTGCCACTGGCGGCGTTGGTACGCGGAGCCCTGGCCCCGGCGCTCAGGCCGCGCTTCGTGCCTTGGCGCGTGCTGGCATGAAGATTGGCCGCATCGAGGACGTGACCCCGGTTCCTACCGACTCGACTCGCCGCAAGGGTTCTCGCCGTGGTCGTCGTCTGTAGAGAGTGCACGTACGTCGCGGTGGGTTCTTTCAATTCGCCTTTTACTACTACTCTTTTATGGTTTCGTCCTTTGATGGTTTTTTGACTAATTTCACTTTTTTAATATGTATATAAGAAGGCTATACGCATAAGTATATGCCTTCTTTTGCATCTCTCTGAAGTGCTCTACCTGTGTGTGCGCATTTGGTGGGACGAGTGGAACATGCCATTGGTAGTTTGGGCTTCCTTTTTTTTGTTCTTGTTACTTTGCCTGTCTGCTGTTGCCGGTGCGGGCCTGCGTAGCTGCGGCTTCAAGAGGTCACCTGCAGGAGGGAAGGAAGGAAGGAAGGAAGGAAGGAAGGAAGTGCGAGGCGGGAGGGAGTGAAAGGTGTGCACTGAGCAGAAGGGCGTGTTTGGTTTGGTCCACGCGCTTTCGAGGAACCCCGCACGGTGGTGCGATGAGCGGGAATGTGAAGTTCAACGCCGTCGCTCCCGCTCCCATGCCTGCGGCGGCGAAGAAAGCGGCTGAAAAGCCCCGGGCAATTCTTCCGTGCGAGTTTCTTCTTAGTCTGCAAGGTCGACGTGTGGTTGTCTTCTTGTCCTACCAAGACCACGAGCTGGAGGGCCGGCTGGCGGCGGTGGATGCCGATAAAGGAGACCTTTTTCTGGAGGATGTCGTGCACTTCGTGTGGAGCCACGGCGCGGCCGGTGGAAAGCTGAGGGAAGGCACGCGTACGGAGCTGCGACGCTGCAGCAGCGCAATGGTGAATAGCCGATACATCGAAATAATTACCCCCGCTTGAGTGGCCAAGCACACGATACATATGTGTGCATATATTGTTTGTGCCGTTGTGGAGGTGAAACATGCTGCGGGAGCACGGAAGGAGACATCTGCGGTACTGCTGTGTGCCTGTGTGTTTGTGTGTCTTAATGTATTTTCCGTCTGATATATACATTATGGCTTTTATGAGTTTTTTTCCCGTCGTTGTTTATATGTGGGTGTTTGATACCTCTTTCTTTCCTTCTTTTCTTATCGGCACCTGTGTCCAAATCTCATCCTTACATAAATACTTTTACTCTCTCTCTCTCTCTCTCTCGTGTGTGTGTGTGTGTGTGTGTG